GGGCACCGTCCTGCCCCCCTGCTGTGTGGTGAGCTGCATACCCCCATCCTGCTGCCAGCTGCACCATGCCCAGGCCTCCTGCTGCCGCCCATCCTACTGCGGACAGTCCTCCTGCCGCCCAGCCTGCTGTGCCTACTGCTGTGAGCCCACTTGTTAAAAGCCAGGTTGCTGATTACTTAAGAGTGAAAGGGGAAGTACAGCAAAACTACACTGCTCTCTAAAGAAATGTCCAATTTTGCTTAGGTGCTAAGTGTCATGATGTTTCTAAGCCACTCAGAATACTTAGTCTTAGTCAGGACCCTCTTGGATATGCAGAATTAGCACACTGAAAACATGTATCAATTACACTGTCTAGATATCCTGCCTTGTGTGAGCAGGACTGACTGGGGTAGCTCTTCATTTCAGTGACATCTCTGGTCTCCTCCTTATCTCTTGGTCCCCATATTTTCAGACCTGTTTTCCCCTGAATATCCTGTTAATTTGAAATAAAATGTTTAAATGTGCAAAGCAAACTGAGTTATTTTTTTCCTTCTACCTTTAACCTTGTCTATTTTTAGCTGGAACTCAAGAAGAGTGGATTTGTATTTTCATAATAATCCTAAGGCATAAACATAAAATCTAAACTAGAAAGATTAAAAACAAATTATATTATGCTTGAATCCATCACTTAATACAATGCTCTGTGTGTTAGTAATCTGCATGGTTATTCAAAACTTAGATGCTCTAATGTTATGATTGGGTCTAGACAAATAATGCCACTTTCAGCTAAAATCTTCAGGTTGATCAAAAGTGTGGGATTTCTACCCAGAGGTATTTCTACCAGTTTAATCTCCTTCTGTTTAATATTCTAGATGATCTCTTTCAGGTGTGCCCAATATTTAAAGATTGTATTACCTATTATGATTTTTAAATATCTACTGATACTATCGATCAGACACTATCTATTTTCCAAGAGCATTTAGGTTTAATTCATATGCCTTAGCCTGTTAAATTCTTCCCATTGATCCCCAAATTGCTCTCTAAGCTTCAATTCCCACCACTCACTTCCATTTAATGAAAGTATGTATAAGGTTTATCTAAGGTCTAAGCAAGAGTAGAAAAAGGAGCTATGGAGATACCCAGTCATTTCCAACATTACCACTTGACGAACACATATATTAGAAATCTGAAACTGCTATTATTTTGCATTTTGCAACCCAATTTGAAAGATGTTCTCTTAAGAAGTTAACACAAATCTAGAACAAGAAATACATTTACCATTTAATTTTCAATTCTTCATCAAGTATCTGACAGCAATATACAAAGTACAATAGGACAAAATATAGAAAACAATTTAAGAAAAATATTTTCAGAGTTACAAGTTCCCAGCACTTACCTTTATCATTTAATTGGTATCAATAATAGATTACACACAAGATTGTGTGTTTCAGAGAAGACTAAAGTAGATGACAGTACATTCCTCAAAATGTAACTCTCGGATGTTCTTCCCTGAGCCTTGTCAACTACGAAATGCAGGGGAAAAAATTCAGCATTTCCTAACCTCTTTTGACAGTAACAAGGACTCCTTCATGGGAGGTACTACAGCTTGAAAGTTCTATTTAGTCATTTATAAGTGGTACAGGCATCTATGAATCATGCCTTTTACTCCACCCATTTAAAATCTGATTCAATAAACATTTATTAAGGTTCTCCCAGAAGCTAAGCACTCTCCTAGATACATCCTATGTCCTTTGGGTCACAAGAAAAGGTTTCTGGCCTGGAATATGAATAATATTACACATCTCAAATTGGTTGAAGTCAAAGGAACTATAATGGTAATCTGATTTGATGTTGGAGTAAATGAGTTGGAAGATTTAACTAAGCATGTCCAAAGGTACTCTTTCAATTCAGTGGATATCGTGATGTCCTAAATTCGAAAGAATTCAGTCTATAAATCCAGAAGGAAAAAATAATAGTTATAAATTAGGACACAATTACCTTTAGCCTTAGAGATTTGGACGGAGTTTCAAGTAGAATAACTACCTCCACAAAACGAGGGTGTTGACAAGGACTAAACCGGGAGGACTCTTTGAACAGGGGAGACCACAGACATTCCAGAGAGCAAAGGGCCAAGATGAGCAGTCCGAATGAAACTATAAAACAAATTACTAAACTGTTGCTCACAATGTGTCATAAGTATTTCAATGCAAGCCAATCAGAGGACCACTGAAGAACAAATTTAAACAAAAACAAGGAAGATATGTTAAGAATTTTATAAATACCAGCTGGCCCAGATATATAAAAGGTGCCACATAGATGTCACCATCAAAACTCCTCCAACAACCCAACTCTCAGCCAACCCCTGACACCATGGCCTGCTGCTCCACTAGCTTCTGTGGGTTTCCCAGCTACTCCACCGCTGGGACCTGTGGCTCCACCTGCTGCCAGCCAACCTGCTGCACGACCAGCTCCTGTGGGACCGGCTGTGGCATCGGCTGTGGCACTGGCTATGGCATCGGCTATGGCACCGGCTACGGCCTGGAGGGTGGCTCCGGAGCTGTGAGCTGCCGCACCAGGTGGTGCCGCCCTGACTGCCGCGTGGAGGGCACCGTCCTGCCCCCCTGCTGTGTGGTGAGCTGCATACCCCCATCCTGCTGCCAGCTGCACCATGCCCAGGCCTCCTGCTGCCGCCCATCCTACTGCGGACAGTCATCCTGCCGCCCCGCCTGCTGTGCCTACTGCTGTGAGCCCACCTGCTAAAAGCCAGGCTGCTGATTTTCAACTTCTAATTCAACTCATGAGTTAACTATCTCCTCAACCACCCCTGAACCACTAAGAAGTTCTTAGACTACAAGTTGGGTTTCTGTTATGGGACGATCAAATATAGAAGTCCTATCTGATTCCATTTCTACAGTGAATACCTTGAGTATGCACTATGGACACAGAAATGCTGTGACCCACCTGGTGATCATCAAATTGCTTTGGATATACTATGTCTGTTCTTCCTGCAGGGCTGAAGATTACTGACACATTATGGAATTCATCCTTGAGAATTGTCCACAAGTCTAATTTTTCCCTGCTTTATGATCTATTTTTAGCTTCTGTTTACCTAAAATTTTTCCAACATCAAAGTCAACTGACAGTCTTTAGATGTCATCAGAGAGAATGGAAGCTCCTTCCCCAACATTCAGCTTCTAAGAAGTAGTCTACACTTTTCCATATTTCAACATCTGATTCCATCTCTTTTCTTTGGGTCATATAATGATCTTATCTGTTGGCTATTTCAATTATATCTGTGATACAGTGTCTTCTGTCATTTCTTAATAAATATTATTTACTGGGCAAAGAAACAATGGTCTGTGTTCCACTTGTACATAAAATGGGTTAACTGCTGGTAATTCAAGAATGCCTACTTGAAAGAAATACATTTGTTTCTTTTAAGAGATTGAAGACATATACAGTATATTCATTCATTTATTCATTTATTATAAGCATTTATTGACCACCAGTTCTAAAGCAGGGACTATGGGGATCAGAAAGTTGAAGAATTCTTATCCTTGATGATATCCTTATTATCCAGATAGAAAAAGTGTATTTGTGAAAATAGCTACATGCAATGTGACCAAGTAAGTTTTACTCTCTTAAAAGTTGGGAAAAGAAACATACTTCTAACTTACGGATAGAAGCCGTTGTGGCAATATGCCTGGATAGGTGCATCCATATTGGACATAAATGGTGGCAACGCCAAAAGGCTAAGAAGAGAAGGTTGTGAAACAATTACACATGAGACAAAGAGAGGAATATTTTTTACTCCAGAGAGGGAGTGACAAGAAAAAAGAAGGGAGGAGAGATCTACTCAAGAGGTCAATAAAACTTTATAATCCCTCCCCTCAGAAAAGAAAGAAATGCCTCGGAAACTCTCAGAAATAGTGGAAAGGCTTTGGATGACTCCTACCATGGAAAGTAATATCTTGGTTATGTAGACTGCAAAGAAGATAGAAGGGCCAGAAACAGAACTTCGAAAGGGAAGAGATCACTTTAGGACCAGAAGGGCCCATGCTGGGAGCAGCATCAGGGAAGGCTTTGCAAGGGAGGTTGTCTTTGAAGTGAGCTTTGAACATCATTCTAAATGGAAAGGAAAGAGTGAGTAAAAAAATGTCCAACATTCACACCTATTAGAATGGCTAATATCCAAAGCAATGCCAACACCAAATGCTGATGAAATGTTGGTGTAGCAACAGGAATTCTCACTCGTTGGTGGGAAAGCAAAATGGTTTTGCCACTTTGGAAGACAATTGGGCCATTTCTTACAAAGCCAAACATAAGTTTACCATACAGTCCAGCAGTTGTGCTCATTATTTACCCAAAGAAGCTGAAAACTTATGTCTACACAAAAACCTGCATGTTTATAGCAACTTTATTTGTAATTGCCAAAAGTTGGAAGCAATTCAGATGTCCTTCGATGGGTGAATGAATAAACACACTGTATTACATCTATACAATGGAATATTATTCTGTGATAAAAAAGGAATGATTTACCAAGCCACAAAAGGACATGGGAAAATCTTAAATTCATATTGCTAAGCTAACCTGGAAAAGCTACATACTATATGATTCCAACTAGAGGACATTCTGGAAAAGGCAAAACTAAAGAGATGAAAAAATTCTCAGTGTCTGCCTACTATGCCCTGCAGATGTCTATAGTCCAACACTAAAATATAAGCTTATGAATAAAAAGAAATAAGCTTAGAAATAGGCACAGGACTGGCCTATGAAACCTGGACAGAAGCCATCTGAAGGCTTTGAAGAAAGCATTCCTCTGTTGATAAAAGGGGTACACATTGATGGCACTCCCCCTTCCTCTTCACCCTGATTCCTCTTTTCACTTTAAACACAGATAGATTCCTGGAGCTACAAAACCCCAGGAGAATGGAAAAGACACTGATCCTGACACAATTGAGCCCCTGAACCAATGTTAACAGCTGCCAACTTGTGAGAAAAATAAGTCCTTTAATCAGGTCAATATTTGCTGGCTTTTCCAAAAGTGAAAACTTAGAACATTCCTCACTGATACACTACACAATAAACTGCAGTAAGCTCTCGACTTAGGGGGGAAAAGATGGCGGTGTGAGAAGTGAGGCAGAAACCTCCTCCCAAAACCATATATAACACAAAAAGACAGCAAATATAACTAATCCTGAAATAGCAACCTGAAGACTGAGTAACAGACTGCCTACATCTGGGAAAAAGAGAAGACCTCACAGAAAAAGGTAAAGTAGCAAAGCCATTATCCAGGAGGGCACAAGCCCTCCCCTCCCCAGCTCACAAGCGGGAGGAAGAGAAATGGAGTGGGGAGGGAATAGAAGCCCAAGGCTGCTATACACCCTGCCCTGGAGATCTGCTCTTGTAGCACAAACCCACATTACATGGCGCTCTGGAGATTAGTGGGGTTGCAAAGCAAAAATGGGCAGAATACTCAAGAGAGATGAGATTCCAACTGCTTGTGGAAAACAGGAACACACAAATGGCCGCTCTGTAACAAAAGAAAGGCGGGCACTTTTAAAGACTTCCTAACAGTGAGAGGGGTGCTAAAGGGGCAAAGATTACACAGAGCTTGCAGATCAGGAGAAAGAGCAGGTGGACAATAATCAAGTTACCAAGGGAAGGGGCTGGGGAGGGTGGGTGGGGAGGGAGGGAGAAGGGGATTAAGGGGCATTATAATTAGCACACACAATACAGGCAGGTCACAGGGAAGGGAGTACAGGATGGAGAAGGCAAGTAGTGACTCTTACAGCATTTTACTACACTGATGGACAGTGATTGCAATGGGGTGGGGGATGACTTGATAATATGGGTGAATGTTGAAACCACAACGTTGCTCACATGTAACCTTCATAAGATTGAATATTAATGATACCTTAATTTAAAACAAAACGCAGTAAGCTCTCAAAATGGTGACTTCCTATATATGACATTAAAGAGGACTTGAGGTGCGTAAACAGTTCAGTGATGGCAAGAGGGCATGAATTACAAATTCTAAGCAAATGTGGGGAGCACTTTTTATTGACATTCATAGACCATAATATGAGTTGATGGATATCAAAAGGGATAGTAGCAAATTGGGGGGGATATGGTAATAAATGATGGAGAAAAGAATGAAAAGGAAGAGAAAAGAAAAAAATAGAGGAGAAAAAAACAGGAAGGCACAACGACAAAGATTAGGGACAAGAGGCAGAAATGAAAAGGAGGAGTAATGATGGGGAAGATGCACATAAAAGAGAAAGATGGGAACCAACATGGCCTTGTTTAGTCCATATGATGTGTCACACACAAAACATACTTCATGTGAGCTTTACTTCATCTAAAACAATCCTGTGAAATAGATATTGTTATTCTGGCTTGTAGATAGGAAAGCCAGTCAAAGTCAAACTAAACAACTTGTTTAAGACACATATTCTCATAAGTGAAAAACAAAACAGCTGAAACCTGAATCTAATTCTGACTCCAAAACTTATAAAGAATGAAATTAAAGAGCTATACATAAGGAAAAATATGGGGAGTTTCATCAGACTGAAAGATGGCTATGTAGGAAACTGTGGCCTTTGGAATAAGTTCCTCTTTGTGCCAGTTAAGTTACTGTCTTTAGCCCACCTGGATAAGTTAGGGTATTCTCCATATTTTAAAGTCCACTGATTAGTAACCTTAATTTCATCTGCAAAGTTCCTTTTGTCCTGTAAAATAACACACTTATAGGCATGACACCAGGGCTCAGAGGTCATAAGAGCCAAAATTCTGCCTACCATAGGGACTGTTAGACATTGAGTCGGCATAATGCCTAAGACCCAAAATGTCACTCCAAATCCACAAATGAGAGTGGTGGCTTATGGTGGCCAAGTGATAGTTGGGAATCGTAACCTGCATTGTAATCACAACAGACCCAGTAGGTCCAGATCAATTCCCCAAATTGTGAATGTATAATTGGAATAATCATGTTTAATAATTGGCAGAATCCCCATATTAGCACTCTGGCTTGAGGAATACTGTTCATATGATAGGAGGGCCAAGTAAAAGCCCCTGGGAGTGCCCCTCACTACAAGGGTAGTAAACTAGTAATGATACTATATCCCTAGGGGAATTTGAAAGGTAAGTGCCATTATTAGAGACCTGAATAAAGCTGGGGTGGTGATACGTACCATTTTCCTACTTACTCACTTGTTTGTCCTATGGAAAAAGCAGAGAAATCTTAGAGAATAACAGAATAATTATTCATTATTATCTTAAACTAATTTAGGCTGTGGAGCTGATGCTCCAGACAGAGTATCTTTAACAGAGGAAATCAGTATAGCTCCTGGTACCTGGTATGCAGCTTTCGACATGAAAAATGTCTTTTTCTCCATATCAGTTTGCAAGGACAATCCAGAATAATTTGCTGTTACCTGGTATGACCAACAGTAACTTTCCAAGTTTTGCCTCAAGGCTATGTCAACTCTCCTGCTTTCTGTCTTAATATACTCAGGACAGATTACAATCATCTTGAAGTTCCACACAGCCTCACATCAGTTCACTATACTGATGACATCATGCTAATTGTTTCTGATAAGCAAGAAGGAGCAAGTACTTTAGATGTCTTATTAAAACATATTTGATGCCCTCTTACAGCACTAAATTATGTTTTCTACCTTTATCTTGCATCTACCTACCACTTCAGCATTTTATTAAAAAAAATATGGGAGAAATGTGGGACTCACATATAAATCAAGTATAAAAATCAAACGAATAATCATATCTGACCTGATTTTTTATAGTTCATGATGCGTGATCAAAACTGAAAGTTTCTGTGATGACTGCCCTTGCACTGTTCACCATGTAAGAACTTATTCACTATGTAAGAACGTGTTCACCATGTAAGAACTTGTTCGTTATGCTTCAGAAGATTGGAGACTGACGAGAATTAGGCTTGGGGTTGATTAATAATTGTGCATTGAGTCCCCTATACAGAATTTTATTGTTGTTAATAACCATTTGATCAATAAATATGAGAGATGCCCTCTCAAAAAAAAAACATATTTGAATTCCAGGATAGGTGATAAGCCTCACAAAAAGTAAGGAGTTCACCACCTCAGTGAACTTCCTTAGTGTCAGGCTGTCCAGAATGTACTGAGATCTCCTTTCCAAGGGGAAAGAAAAACTGCTGCCCCTCGACCTATCTTCAGCTAGAAAAGAACAACTCTTGGTAGACTTTTTGTATTTTGAAGTCAATATATACTATATTTGAATGTGCTTCTTTAACCCATTTACTAATAACCTGAAAAAGATAAGACCAGTGCAGATTCAGACAT